ATTAGGCCTACATAAAGAGTTACTCCACTACTACTACACCCTGTCCTCAGAGAGCAAGAGTCATGACTAGGATCAGGATGCTAAAGGTCCTGACATTGCCCAGATTCCAGTCACTACCTTAAAAAAAAGTTTCCTCTTCCATTTTCCCCTTATCCTATATAACCATTGTATCCTAATTGAAAGGAAACCTCATGAAACCTCTAACATTGAGATTATTTGCCTGATTGCAATACAAAAAAATTTTAACATTATGGAAAATTCACCAAGCATATGAAACCAAAGCTAAGTTATGACAGGTGAAGACGGTGAAACTTAAGAATACTTATCGGAATTTAGGCCTAACACTAACAAGTACTTCACACTTCAGATTAAGTTCATTTCAAATTTCACTTCTTAGTATAAAAAGCCTTATTTGACTGCGGTTCTAGAATTGTTCATTCACCCCTCAATATCTTACTGACTGATATCCGAAACGGTCAGACGTGTTGAAATCGGATCAATGCCTAGCCTGGCATTTATTACAATCCGAAGGATCCTTGGTTACCGTTGTGCTAACGCCAAATTATTCCAACGGAAAGGAACTGGAGCTTGGAATGGCTAGAGCTACGTCCTAAAGTAACGTAGCCGAAACATGAGCTATTAGGCCAAGGTCGATGCGAGAAACAGTGCCAGACCGAGAACTAGGCCTACAAATGGAGACCAAAGGCCAATATTATTAAGTGGAATTGCGAATGGAAACTTCTTATTAAGCTACTTTCATATCTTAGAGCAGCCCACCAGTATCTTACCACTGAGTGAGTCCTGCATCCGTCTGAAAGCAAGGCTTCCAAACCGGATATGCCGCCTTGCAGGAAGAGTACTTTCGAGTTCAGAGTACCATGGCCGCCTGTAACTACGTTCAACTGTTATCCGCAGTCCATAATGCGTGTCATTTATTAGTGAACATTTTACCATTTCAGCTTCAGCTGATGAAAATTACACGAATAGGAGTTTGTCATACTTTCGAGTTCAGAGTACCATGGCCGCCTGTAACTACGTTCAACTGTTATCCGCAGTTCATAATGCGTGTCATTTTTTAGTGAGCATTTTACCATTTCAGCTTCAGCTGATGAAAATTACACGAATAGGAGTTTGTCAGAGAATTTTTCATTCACAGTGACCTCATAATTTGTCTCACAAAATCTCACGATGGACCTGTAGATGTGATGTCAATTTTATGGTGATAATTACAAGGTCCTCGTATCAATAACTTGTCAAAAGTGTATGTCCTCATGAGCGTCAATATATACATTAAATGTAACATCAAGTTGATGTGACTTACATACATGTCAAGTTTTTTACGAAAATAGCAACATCAATAGTCATGTCAAACTTTTCAACATGCATGAAATTCTCATCATATTGACGTAGTATTAACATGAAAGAGTCAATAAGTGTGCTACCTGGGTGGGTGTGCCGTGGAATGTTCAGGTGTCCTTATGTGTGCCGCGAATAAAAAAAAAGATTGGGAAGCACTGCCCTAGAGTTGGAAAGGAATGGGAGAAATACAGTGTATCGATTCCCTTCAAAATTACGAATCGCCTCTTTAAATGCGCATGAATGTTAGGGGGAAATTAACATCAATTTTACGTTAAATGAATGTAAACATGCTGTTGGGGATGTAAAAGGGAATGTCAATTTTACATAAAATTTACGTTAATTTCACATCACAGTTTGCGTATTACAGACATTTCCGCAAACATGTTGACATTATCTTGATGATGGTTTGCGTAAAAAAGATATGAAATGGACAAAAAAGTTACATTCATTTTACGTAAAATAAACATAAACATGCTGCTTGGGTAGCTTTCCGACCAACGTCGATTTGCCAATGAAAAGGAGAAAGAATTTGAATGAGACACTCTTTCTGTCTAATCAAGAAGTTCATTTATTAGTAACTGGAGTCATTTATAAGCAATGAGGAGTCATTTATAAGCTAGTAAGCTCTCGGTTTTCTACGTTTGTCCCTCCTTTCCGCTTCGCTTTCGGTCATGGCACGACGCGACCGAAAAATCCAGCAAGCCCAAAAAAATCCTGGATGCGAAAATCCAGTCAAAGATTTTTCCATGCACTCCATGGATTCGAGAGGGAGCCAGGGGTATAGGGGGAGACGCACTGGATCCGTTTAACGTTAAGTCGGTTTCATGATGGATGCCTATGGGAAAGATATTATCTCCGTGAAACCGCTTCCGATAGCACCATTATAAAATCGGATTGGTTTACGTTAAGCAGATCTCACCGAAAGTTGACGGAAGTCTGAGCGCGTGGATCCGGATGGCCCTGAAGTTTCCACTCGAGGACGGGTTTTCCTTCAGTGCCTGTTTACCTGCCGGGGGAGGGGGGTGGAGGGGGGAGGGGGGTGGAGGCCTGTTGCCGATTCGTACCGATTTTTGTTTTACATTTATTTCGATCTCGGTCGAACGGATCGAGGAAATGCAAAAGAACGAGAGAGGATTTGTGGTGCGTCTGTAAAAGAAGAGGGGAGGGAAAGAAAATCCTGGAGGAGGAAAGAAGAATGAAAAAAGAGAAAACGCTTCCCAGAATTTCCCATATACCTCGACTTAAAACAAATATCTTGGCAAAAAGTTCAGCGAAGAGTTCCGTGGCTTTCAGCTTCATAGAGTTGTTTGATTTTCATTACGAATCTTTCCGGGATTTCAGGTTTCCATGAAGTCATGTGGAATTTCGCGAAACTCTCCTTTGGCTATTTGGCTCTGGTTTCGATATCCAAACTTTGCACGACTTTCCTCCTGGAAAAGTTCTACACTCACAATTATTATTATTATTATTATTATTATTACCAGTTGAAGCTGGTAGTGTCCTCTCATTTGGCCCGCTCATTTTCTCATTCTCATCTTCGATAAAGCTTTATCGAGAGGGAATTGAGTGATCCTGATGAAATTATGCATGAAAGCTGTCAGCAGGATGTCACGAAGTACATCGGTCATGAATTAATTTAAAAAATCCGCCTGGACGAACTAGCCGTCGAGACTTTCCACTCCCATCAGAAAAAACAAGAGACCTGCGAGCACGGGAGCAATCTACGAAAGCGTGCAATAAGGTGGGAAAAAAAGGTCCGAGGTCCCTGTCGTCCTCGAGCAGGCAACGGAAGTGGCCTTCATCGACTCGGGAAGGGAAAACTCGAGGAGACTCTCAAAAGTGATTGGGGGGAAAGGCCGAGGTCCTCGTGTCCAAAGCGATGCTGCACGTGACATTTCACACGCGAGCACTTTCTCCGGGATTTCTATAGATTCTTTTTTATTAACGCTTCCGAGTTCTTTTCTAGGCGTTTCCTCCATTAGATTTCCAGTCTTCCGATTCCAGGAATTTTTCACCGAGTCGGCCGTCGAGGGATCGTCGACTGTCGTTTAGACGATTTGTCCGCTTTCTTTCTCGAGTCTCTTTCAGCTTGGCATATCAAAGTCAGAGGTTTTTTTTTCGAGGCATTTTTCGTCTCGAGGTCACAAGGAGAAGCGATCGTCGCAGATTTCCAGCTCTGCAGGAAACATGGATGATATCGGATTTTGAGAAAGCGACATTTCAATTTTCTTCCCTCAACCTCTCGAACGTTTTGGAAAAAGAAAAACTGGACTTAGTCAAGAGCTTCATCATCCCCGTGTCAGAGTCTCACCCCTAAATGACGGTACCGGCTGCAGATCAGCGACTGCAAGCACCTTTTTTTTTTATAAGCTCCGTGGCACGATCGTATTAGAGAGAGCACGGTCGTGGGTTGAGGGAATTCGGTCGTGCATTCCTGTGCTGGACCCCGAGAAGTCCACAGTCCACTGGAGACCTGAAGAGGGCTATTCGAGACCTGGAGGGGCCATTTGGGACCTGGATAGACTATTTGGGACCTGGATGGACTATTTGAGGAAAGAAGGAAACAGCGTATGTCTGTCCTCTTCCGTGGCAGGAGGGTGACTCCTTCATGGAGTTTCGCTTCGCTTCCTGTTCTTTCGAGCCTGCTCCCCATTTCACTTTTTCATTCTATTTCATTTTCCTTGTTGGTGTGTTTTCTATGACGCTTTCCTGGAGGGACGTGACCGCATCTGCAGTCAAGCTTCTTGGATGATCACGAAATTAATTGATATTGAATTCGACCATCCTTCCTTGTGGCAGAATCCATGAGTCCATGTCTTTGCCTCGTAAGAATGGCTGAAGTTTGATAAATTCGAAATGAAAGGCGACTGCGAGAAAGATTCGGTCGCTCATTTATTTCACACACGTCCTTATTTGCCTGGAATGCATCCGAGCGAGACAACAGTCAACAATCAACACTATACAGCACACACAGTATACACTCATTTTCAAGATAGGATAATGAGAATGACTAGAGTAGATCCAGACTGGAACGTGGAATGTCGAATGGATCGAAGTATTTTTTTTTTTAAATCCGACGGAGCCCGACGCGAACAGGCCTCTCATCACAGAATTCCTTGTCGGAAAGGATGAGAGAAGCCAAAAGGGCGAAAGAGACAGACAGAAAGAGTAGATACGAAAGAAGACGATGAGATCCGCAGGAGAGGAATCGGCGGCAGTCATTTTGGACGGAACACCTCAATCGTTCCCAACAACTCCAAAAGACGGAACACTTTTTCTCTGAGATCTCGTCGAGTGCGTGGGAATTCCCTTCATTATCAAAATGCAACAATCCGTTTGGATGAGGATTTTTCTATCGATGTTACGCCGATGGAGAGAACAATTATGGAGACGCGATCACAGAGATCAAGCCTGGGAACCAATTACGTATCACCTGGATTTTCCTTCTGTCTGGACTACGAGGAAAAACAAGAGGAAGGAGAGATTCTCATGAGGTAGACCAACGGGAAATGTCATTTCATCCGCATGAAGAAAGGAGCTGCAAATTCCTCCAGCCGATTCATCGCATCTGCACGAGTTCGGAACTGCCAAAACGTCGAGGAAAAAGATACAGAGCACCGCGAACGACGGAAGAGTCTTCCTTTAGTCGTCCTTTGTGGAAGAGGCGATCCTGTCTTTTGGGGATCAGGTCCCTGTGCTGCAGGATCGGCAGCACTGGAGCTTGTAATGCTGCATCCGACACATTTTCAGGCGGGCGACGAGGCCGCAGTACCGGCTTCGATCGCGACACTCCTTCCCTGCAAAAAGAAATTCTGAGTAAAACATAAATATTTATTTGCATCATGCATGACCTCCTTCGTGACATTTCCTCCTATGTACTTAAAAAAATAGGATTTCAAAACCTAAATATTGCATGTTGGAACTTATACATGCAGATGGTAAATAATAAATTACTCGAGTTCCATCAAATCTCCCAGTCTTCGTTTGACTGTTTTCATAGGATGGGAGTTGCTGACATCCGAGGAAGAGCAATATGGAACGAGAAAGGAAGAAAGCACCGAAACCGGAGCGAAAGAGATAGAGTCACCTTCGGAACACGGAGGACCTTTGCAGAGTTTCATGACCGGAGGACGAGGCAGATCCCGACAGGCACTCCCGGCCGCTTTCTTCGTCTCGTGCCACACGCACTGCAGGATCCTCGTCCGGATCCCCTCCGACCCGCACGACGCCGTGCACTACAACGATAAATCCATCGGTCGAACGGGCGACCCACAACGAGATTTGGTATCGTCGCTAATTGTACGGACCTCGGACCAGTTGCCGACCCTCCAGGTGCCCTTGCATTCGTCGTTGTAGCATTCCCGTTTGTTCTGGGGTCGAGAAGTCTCCTGACAGAACACAGGGTCCAAGACCGTTCCGTTCGACAGCAGGCATCTCACCTCCCGTCGCTGCATCGCTGGATATACCGCCAATAGAGGAACTCTTAGACCCGAAAGCTGAAAATCCTTTTAGTTCACGGACCTTGAAAATCCATGGACTGCTGAGACGAAAAGATTTTTAGCTGAAAGGTCCTTTTTTTTCTCCCCTAAATGAGGTTTCTACATTCTGATCCTAGACATTAGAAAAAAAAGTAGTGCAGATGGAATGGAACCTAAAAAATGCAACTAGACCGGAACGCGGCCTCTTTTTGTCGGAAAAAAGCCCGCATTCCAATTGAGATTCCATGGTGCTTCCTACTCTGACACTACTGTAGAGTTGGCTCTAGTGACAACTAGAGGCCACGAGTATTTGTTCCACGCAAGCTACCACAGAGTAGCTCTTTCGCCGTATGGGCATCCGACAAGACTACACGGTGGGGTACCTAACCGCATCGAGCTACATTTATCTCTTGACAAAACTCTCTGAGGGGAAGTCCATGTGAATGGAGAGATCTCACATGAACGGATTTGAAGTTCCATATGCATTCATGCATTCATGCATATGCATTCATGCTTCACGCATCCATATGCATGAAGAACAGATCCGAAGTTCGGGTTCGGGTGGAGAGGATCTAAAAGGGATCGAAGGTAGGTCGTACCTGTGTTCCAGGTGAAGCACTTGGATTCCTCGCAGGGGGACCATTCTCCGAGATCCCAGGTGGGACAGGGTCCAAGCCCGCACGACCGAACCGTCTCCGGGGTGACCAGACCCGCCGCCTTCATACACAGGCCGTTGTCCACCGTACGACTCACTCCGCCGTCTGCCTCCTTCACGATGCACTGACGAGCTCGCACCTTCGGGGATGGAAACGGGCTCTCGCATTATGGAACACTTGAGAGTCTTCAATGACGATTGAGTTGTGGCGAAGAATTGCACAAAGATCAAGATTCAGGGAAATTGGTGTTTCTAAGGGAAAATGATCGAATCGAATTTTTTTTTAGGAATTCTCATCGCGATATCATCTGGTATACTTTAACGATTCTTTAGCAGAATTAAATGCGAGAAGAGGATTTGAGTACCTGGAAGCCCTGACCCCCGCAGGTTTGCGTGCACGGAGACCACTCCGTGATCATCCATTCGAACTTGGAACCCTCGAATGGATTCCTCTCGGTTCCTGCACACATTCCACACAATGAATGGAGGTAATGAAACACGGAAATCGGTTATTCCCGCAACCAAAGCACCCAAGTGCGTGCAATTAGTCAGGCGTGGTACATAGGGAATCGAGATGTTCTCGAGGTTCTTTAAATACTCGTACCGATAAAACTTTCCCATCGTCGAAAAGAAAATGCCCACGAAACATGCGATTTTCCCATCTCACAGCAAACTTCAACCACCCATGCAAAAACCAGGCTGAGGAAGGATTTGGCATCTTTACCTGATTCAACGGCGGTCGACGGAGAGGTCGACGGAGTCGTCGGAGGCGACTCGGTCGAGGTCGTGGTCGTCTCGAAATCCTCGTCGTCGTCGTACTGATCGTCGAGATCGTAATGATCGTGATCGCGAGGGAATGTCTTGCCGAATCGAGACCAAGGGTCCTGGGGTACTTCCTTCGCGCGACCCCCCGGGAAATCTTCTCTTTCGGGAAGAGACTGAAAGAGAAGAGCCAACGCCTGTTCCGATCTCAGATCTTGAGTAATTTTTCGTAGACGAATCTAACCTCTTCACTCTTTCGATATTAAAGCGTTCATATCGAGGCAAAGAAGAACGAGAAGTTTGGAGAGCCTACAAAGGTCAATAGAGGCTCAAACATCTGTTATAATTATGGCGATTTGGAGAGACGAGTTGCATGCAAATATGGTATATGACCTTATCAGATGACTTGCGCCTCGCATGGCCTCCTGTTATAACTAGGGAGAGGATTTTTATGAGCTAAATGCTGCGGAAATATGCACTTCATTATGCTGGGGAAAATGCCAGTACATGCATGAAATATGCATGAAAATGTTAAAATATGAAAAGATATGCGAAATCAAACCTTATTAAATTATTTGGAAATGGGGAATCCCCTTTCCTTGGTATTCCTGGAAATCGGGGGGGAAGCCTCTTCCTGAAAATCAGTCTCCCAAGGTCAATTCTAACATTTTTTCGACATAAAATGGCCAAAATGTGCGTGAATGTGCAAATGTATGCATAAATAAGAAAAATTACGCAAAAGCACCTACTTATGAATTTTAGCGCATTTTTACAACGGCGTCCATCGCTTTTCCTTCGAGTAATACACGTTCCTATCTGGGTCGTATGACGCTGCAGGAAAAATACGCATTTGCATTAAAAATCAGTTCTCTATTAATTAATAATCCGACGTTTTTAGCTGTCATCTAACAGGTATTTTTTTTAGCATTTCCAGCTCCAGCGACTTCAATGCGCTATGTCCTTTGCCCGTACTTTTATGACGAGCATGAGATTCAAGGCTTTAAACGTTCCGAAACTGTTTAACCCTTTCGTGGGCAAACTTTCTCTTATGCGCAGCCTTCCAGGAGCACAGGGAGGGCCGAACGCTTTCTGGGAAGTATACTTCCCCCTGCCCACGAAAGGGTTAATTGAACTATGGTAATGCATGGAATGAAGAGCTTCGAAAGTGCAGCGGAAGAGCAGACATCCTTGCCAGGATTCGCCCGATACCCTAGCCCAAGAGCAAGTCAGACGTCACTGAGCCTTTCCAAAACAATCAGTCGTTGCATGGCATTCAATCAATCGATTCGAGAGCTTGCTTTCCATGAATAACAATTATGAGGCTTCTGTAACGGAAAATTTTGATCCATATGGAGGGAGCCGCTTGATGGCATCCCAGCATAAAAGTTTTCCAACGGTTGGACAACATAATTAAAAGGCTGTTAGGGTCCATTGGACCTCATTTCCATCTCCAAATATCGTCAGAGCAACTCTAATGCTGTAGCGACGTAGCTTTCTCTGACTCCTCGGTGGACGCGAATGCTGGAGACTGAGGGTACAGTTTGAATGAGAAACTTCGTCCAAGCACATAGAAAATTGCTGCGGAGTACCTTGGGTATATAATCTCAATTAGGTTGTGAGTGAACAGTAAGCACAAAAAATCTCAATCGATTTTTTTTATATTACCTATTTACAGCATCACCTGAGGACTACCCATTACGAGGTAAGTTATTTCGAACGTAAGGGTGTAATTAAATCCGGTTCAAACAGATGGCCCCTAAAAGCATGAACTGAGAAGAGATTGCCCCCCCCCCCTCCGTAACACATGAATAACTGGTCTCCTTTTATCTTATCTGGCACAAGCTCACCTAATTAAGCCCAACCTGGGGATTGGTCTAATTCACGAACCGGTGGAAACGCCTACGCTTACCCTGTCGTTTGCCGTTCATGTTTATCGGTGCGTGGAACTCTCCTACTGCTCTACCAATGCCACCACTTCCCCAACCTACACCTCCACCACCGTCCTCAGCCCCACCTAATCCAAATCTACACCGAAGAACGCCAACTATGCTGCTCCTCTCTCCCAGTTTGTTCTGTCACTCTTTCGCGGACGTAGCGAACAGAAAAACGGTATGAAAGAGAGAACCAAAACGGAACCGAAACTAAAAAACGGATACAGGAAAGAAGGAGCACGTCCTCTCACCTGTAATCCGGAGAGAACGTTGAAGAAATCGGGTCGGGACCTCGCAGCGCCAGATGCAGCAGGTGGAGGAGGAAAGTGCCCATGACGGACGACCCCAAAAACGTCAGAGGAAGGAGAAGAAAAGTTGGATGTAGGAAAGATGGAGGAGAAAGAAGACGACGAAGGAGAGGGGTAAGAAGCAGCAGGGCCGTGCTGAAGCGTCCCGTATAGGTCCTTCTGGGAATTCTGCATGGGGGAAAGAGAAGGGAGAGAGTGCAGGAAATGTGCAAAGCAGCATTTGCATGCAGAGCAAGCGAAGCCGAAAAGGAGCTTCTACGGTCGAGCGCCCGGTCCCGATGATATTTACTAAATAGACGCTTCCAGCCAGTAGGCAATCGGTTCAATTTTTCCACAAATATCACTCTTTCTCAGACACCCTTCAAGTGGAGCGTGTAAAGGGAGGGAAAATGGAATGTGGCAAGAAGATTCGCTTGCTAACGGGATACGAACCAGATCGCGAAACTCTCAACTTTCGGCAAGAGGAGAGGAGTAACTGAAGCCTCTCGAGAATTGCTTTAGCAAGAGTATCCGCTTCAGGATCATTATAAGCAGTGACAAGGTCTCAAGTACGGGTGAAGAGGGTAATGAAACTATTACCTATTGAGGCGTTATTTCCCCAATTGTGAGATGGCTTGAAGAGGAGGAGCGCATGGATTTGCCTGCTCCTAATGAAATAGCTGGCAAACCCATCAGCACAAACACATGCCAGGACGCAAGCACATCGACACGAAGTAGGTACATATGCATTTGTCTTCATTCCGCTAAAGGGAGATCAACTGTGGAATGTACCATACCTTCATGCGTCCCCTGCCTCGCAAATGGGTCACCAATCGGGCTGAGAAGACATTCCTTTCTCTCTGCCCCCCTCCCCCTTTTCCTCATTTCCAGGAATATTGGTCATTCCGCTTCTCGATTAAGCAGGCTATTCCAATTCATCACACGGGCAAGGATCAATTTCGCTCCACTATCTGATCATATTCCGGTTACCTACGTCGTGCAGGATATATATATCATGGAAGAACGCATAAAAGTCACCGCGTTGGAGAACGATGATCAAAATTCGTTTTGCACCCCAAGGGTTCTCGTGTTTCAGCCCCTCTACAAGTGATGAGGAAGTGCTGCTGCTTTACCGCTGTACCATAATTTAACATTTTGCGAGGCAGTTCGAGGCTTTCCCGTTCTACCAAGATGATGTGAGCGTGAGAAAGTAAAGAGAACCTGACCACGACATTGCGTTGCGGGTAGAGGAAAGTCATCGAAATGCGAACTGGTTTGACGATTGCCTATTCCTCCCTGTTCGGTACAATGGGGAGAGAAGGCGGAGAGAAAGAGAAGAGGAATTTAGCCGTCTATCTAATCTCCATAAGCAGGAGCGAAAATTCATAGGGCGAATATCCAACAGTTTCTCATGGAGCAAGGAATGATTGCTGTCAGAAACTAAGTTGATTTTGTATTCGTCAGTGGGATCTCCACCATGGGGTACAACAAACATAAATAAGAACCAGCCTAAAGAATAAAATCCAAATCGGCTTTAAAAAGAAAATATTTTTAAAGAATTCCACGAGATCAACTTTGTTGAATGCGAAAAATCACAAAAGGCTTTTCATAACGCCGCATGATTCAGGACCGAGACATCCTTTCTACGTACTTTTCCTTGTAATGGCACTCTGTCTACACTACGGTCCAGCTCCCTTTCAATTAACTGCCACTAGTTCAAAAGATACTCCAATGGTTCTTCCGAGAAAGACAGGTTAGAACAGCGGTTCTCATCCTGTGTGACACTCTACCCAGGAGTGCCGTGCGAGACTGACAAGGGTGCCTCGGGCCTTCCCATCCTTTTATCCTGGCACCAAAGGAGGACAGGCAGGCCAGGAGGTCACAATGCTCATGCCAAGAGGCTGCAATGCTCCTATACTGATGTCATCGAGGAGCACTCTCTGGAGTGGGCGGTAAACCTCTTCCGATAAAACCGCTTCGAAAGAATCACATTTCTGACTAAAGCCTATGCTCTAAATAAAAGTGCGTGCCAGAACACAATATGAATCCATTTTGATAAAGCCGACAGCGTATTCTGTCATGATTTCGTTGAGAGTATCCATCTATGAAGAACACCAAGAAAAAAAAAAAGTTCCTGCAATAAAGATCCAGATTGCTTTGCCATCACGTTTGTTTGTCTACCTTCTCTTATTCTGCGTAAGGAAAAAAAAAAACAATTTCCGGTTCCATCTAAGCATTACAAACGACGAAGTAAACCTTCCATGAATGAATTCAGAAGTCCTATCTTCTTCATGATCTTCAGATGCCTCGAAATGGTCAGATGAGTCAGATTTTGCTGGGTGGAGCAGCGGTTGCGTCCAGACACTCTCCAGGATTCCTTATTATCGGTCATAATAACATGGGTTTGAAATTGACCGTTTTCATACGTTGCGCTTCCGATGGCATCTGCAGACTCAAGTTTATATGTACTTGAAGTATTTTTCTTTGTCTATCTCCCAAAGCGGGATAATGAAACTGAAACTGTTTTCCTAATTTACGGGAAAATGCAAACACTGTCTCATCTGCCAACCATAGCGTATGAAAAATCGCACCTGTGCATTTCGCGACTGTATTGAGGCAAAACATTAAACATTAATTTTGAATATAATTACATGCATTGCCTTAGTAAAGAATTCTTATTTCTTTTGGTACGAATCGTATGAATCTTAAGTCCGTTTATAAGTGGTCGTACTAGCAACGTACTTGAACGCTGATTTCCTAACTTCCTCTTGGTCGCATTTCAAGCCTTCTGTTGTCACTCAGAATGAGGCTGTAGGCTTACTTTTCGAAAATATGATTTTAACTCGAAGAGACGCGCCTTGGATTTCATTGGCAGGGATTCTCAACGATTCCTGGTTCCAGTCGTTTCCTAGTGAAGCGGGAGTAATGCAGGACAGGAAAGATCAAGGAAGATTATGAAGAGCAACCAGAACTGGAGGGAAAATGGAATGTGGCAAGAAGATTCGCTTGCTAACGGGATACGAACCAGATCGCGAAACTCTCAACTTTCGGCAAGAGGAGAGGAGTAACTGAAGCCTCTCGAGAATTGCTTTAGCAAGAGTATCCGCTTCAGGATCATTATAAGCAGTGACAAGGTCTCAAGTACGGGTGAAGAGGGTAATGAAACTATTACCTATTGAGGCGTTATTTCCCCAATTGTGAGATGGCTTGAAGAGGAGGAGCGCATGGATTTGCCTGCTCCTAATGAAATAGCTGGCAAACCCATCAGCACAAACACATGCCAGGACGCAAGCACATCGACACGAAGTAGGTACATATGCATTTGTCTTCATTCCGCTAAAGGGAGATCAACTGTGGAATGTACCATACCTTCATGCGTCCCCTGCCTCGCAAATGGGTCACCAATCGGGCTGAGAAGACATTCCTTTCTCTCTGCCCCCCTCCCCCTTTTCCTCATTTCCAGGAATATTGGTCATTCCGCTTCTCGATTAAGCAGGCTATTCCAATTCATCACACGG